AATCCATATTATTCACTGATAATGAAGATTTTTATAGGTGTGTGGAACTTTTTAGGCTTATTCATTACAAACATATAAACAATTTTTTTTTTTTTAATAAATAAATAATATAAAAAATGTTTTTATTTTTTTTTTTTTATCATAATAATATTATAACTGTGATATTTTTCGACTTTCCACTACCTAATTTAATATTTGCGAAAATTAATATTGAAGTTTGAAATTACAATTCCAAAATTCCGTACAGATTCCCCGACTTTTTGAGGTTTTCAAGGTTTCCAGAAGCCGTGGCAACCACGTGAACATACGTAATGTAAACAAATATTACCACGAATACCGTTTCTATAATATTTATTTACACCTGTTCTCCGGTGTATAATATACTATTATAATAGGTAGTGTGTGTAATGTTTAATTTAAAATCATCGTGGAATGTATGTCTTTTCCTTTTATCGAACCTGCATTTGGCGTACTGAAAAATAAAAACAGTAAAATATAACGAGTCTCGTCCAACAGGATGGAAAAAAAAATGATAGTATAATAAACAACAAAAACGCGCAGCACGCACACACATACAAATGTAATATTTAACGCATTATGAAAAAAGTAAAAAAAAAAAAATAAAACAACCATTTATAAGCATTAAAACAACTCTACAGTAATAATGAATAACTGTTCTAATTTTACACTATATGGCAACGTGGACAATATATAGGTATTATATTGTAGAGGTACCTATATAATACATACTACAAATATTCAGAACAGGTCAAATGAGGTCTCTTTTTAAAGTTTCTCCTACAGTCATGTTGTTATTATATTATACGCGAGTCCGATTTTGTTATTTTTTTCTTTCTTTAGCAAAATTTTTTTCGTTGTTCGATGCTTTACACCAGCGTTTCCCAAACTGTGGTCCGATTTGAATAAAATGACGTTTGTCCCGTTTTCGGACGTTTTGTTTTAATTATCCGGAGGTTTGTTCAAACTAAACACGTAACGCAAGATGTCTACCTACACGCAAGTATAGAAATAAAAAAGGTAATATTTCTAATAGAAATTTATTAACATTATCATTATTATCATAACCTATTCATTTTTTGATGGGTTTTTTTTTTTTTTTAATTTTCGTATTTGTCGAACCGTCTACTATGTATTACTGCAGTTTGCGGGCCGTGGAGATACGACCGAATACAGATGATCCTTCGCGTTTATAATATTCCCGGCATTAATTTCGAATGTTGTTTCGGATATAATATAGTTATAAATCATATCCGTGTCGTTATTATTATACTCCGTAGTTTCCACTACACGAACAATACGAATTATAATAATATTCAAAATTATAACGACTGCCGCCGCCCGCCCGTTTCAATATTCGAAACTATACACAGCTTCCTCCTAATCTATATAACAGATACATACTGCACAGTTTGCATCCGTTAAAGATGCTGTACGAGTACTAAATAAGAAATTCGGTAGATAGCTTCGAAAAAATCTAATTAGTATACATTTTAGAAAAAAACGAATACATTTTCATACTTAAGGGACCTGCTCGTCATTTGTTTATTTTTACAAATTGTTCAGAGGTCGTCACACCCGCATCTACTGTTTAAGTCCAACTACCGAGTCCAACAGGCAAAAAAAAAAAAAAATGTTAACGCAGACTACCTATGCAAAACTAGCTTGATTTTTATTTTAGAGTAAAACTACCTAGCTAAAATTTATAGAAAGAACCTCATCGGGTTTTCGTATTATTCTAAATATACAGTTCGATATAAAAGGCACAAAACTTTCTTTTATTTCAGTTTTTTAAATAACTATAACTTTTAGATTCTGAGTGGAGCGAGGAATGTATTGGTTTTACAATGAAGTTTATTTATTTCATTATTTTTTTTTTACTATAATTGAACACTTTTTCTACCAAAAAGCTATTTCGATTATCAAGTATACCACATTTTCTGAAAGGTAATTTTCTCTGGGTAGTATTTAGAGAGGTAAATTTTTGAAATTATCATTAATATTCGAGATAGTGAGAAAAACCTAGTTCTTTAGGTTAAAAAATATTGAAAGATTAAAAATAAGGCTGTCATTGGCAACCGTTTTTATTCATTTTTTTTATTATTATTAGTCAAGTGTTTATTATTTTGTATTTTTTAAACCATCTTTGTTGTCATTGAAACGAAAATTGTTGAAAAAGCAATATTATATAAACCAAGCTATATTATAATAAAATAAATATCGATTTCAATACATGCCTGTTATTTTCTTTTTCTTTTTTTTTGCTCGTAATATATTTTACATAAAAATTCTCATAGACCCATACTATTTCGATTATTGTTGTTGGAAAACTTCCCGATAAGACTTCCAATTTTGTTCGTATAAGTAACCAAATACGATACACAAAAAATATAAAAAAATAACCATACATGTATTACATTAACAGTTACTGTTAATTGTACAGTTGAGTTTATTATTGGAATAATAATATTTAAGACTGAAGGTTTTTTTTCTTTTTTAGTAAAATCAATGTTTTTGGAAATTTTCGAGTTCGTCATTAGGATCTGCTCAAATTACATACCGCAATAATAAAACGTACCTACCTATATATACATAATTAAATCAGGACAAATTTTTTCAGCTCGCACTTTTACCACCCCGTCTATAACGCTATGTACATAGATACACGGATTACTATCACTCGTGAGTCGATTATATTATGTATATAAAAATTATTATAAACAGCGTGTGTTCACGATTTTTTTTATACACGCTGCACACGTGTCTCTATATAGTATCTATATTATATACGCTGTGCGTTCTCTTTATTATATTTCAAAAACATTATTTGTATAAGTACTTTAATTCATCTACAATTTTTTTTTTTTTTTTTTTTAGGTCATTAAATCAATAGCAAAATCTAAAGTTAATTTAAAGCGGTCGTTGTATAACTCGTAAAAAAAAAAAAAAAAAAAAATAGGCTGATAGTGATAAAGGGTGTGCTACTGTTTTAGGAAGGAAGTTATAGAAGGTGGGACATGCGAAGACATTGTTTCATTTATATCTGTACGCGACGATAAATTACTGTCAACGATAACGATTCTGGGCAATAAATTATTAGTCGTATTATTCCCCTTACTACAGTTAAGGTAACCCAGAAATCAACAAAAACCATAGAAAAAATTGTCAGTTTTTCTCATTTTTATTAAGAAAACTTTAAGGGAAATAAAAAAAATTACGTCCCAAACTAGATTGAAAATGCTAAAACAAAGATCTTATAAAGTTTTTAATTGGAATAAAATCTCTATTAATACATTTTTTCACAGACACAGAAAAAAATAACAAATATCATATAGTGAAACCAGTACATTCTTCACTTCGCTCAGAAAACAAAACAGGACAGCAATTTTGTTATTACTCCAAAAACGTAATTTTTTGTTGGTGATATTTCCAATTAAAATAAATGATAACGCGTCATCGTTTAAAAAACCATTATTCTCCCGCGTAAGTGCCGATGAAAATACGACGAAATTGACGCGTTGAAAAATAAAATAAAAAGTCATAACTCTGTCGGATATGGAAAATGTTGCTGTTTTAGGAGTTATAGGGCTGTAATATCGGGATTTGGGCCGACGATACTCGATACTTAATCAGAGTCGTTGCGAAAATTATCAAGTATACCAAACAACGACGACGACGACGTAATCCAATTTTGTTAAGTAAGTACACGATTTTTTCCAATCGAAATCGATCAAATAAAAAAATGAAAAAATAGAGAGAGTGATAGAGAATATGGAAGGGTGGGTAGGGGGGGGGGATTATACAGGATGGAAATAATAAACCGCGAGAGCACACGAGAGCGAGTAAATAATAATACGCGGAGAACGTTATACATATTATATTTGAAAAGGTCAAGAAGCCGCTGTGCAATTACCAACGATTTATTATTGCCGACGCACCGCAGACGCAATATTTCGACATGTGAACCGTAGGTAACGGTTCGCATTATATAGTTACGATTTCAGTCGTACATTATTATTATTATTATTATTATTATTATTGTTGTGTATTCCCGGGTTTCGCATTATTACCGTAATGTAATAGTTGTGATTTTTCGTATTTTAATTTCTCCGTATTTTTTTTTTATTTTCGTGTTTTCGTTTTTTTTTCGCCGGGACCGCGACCTTCTCAGTCCGCACGCGTGCACGCCGCCGCCGCCGTCAACTCGACCGCATCCGCGCCGCCGCGGGGTTTTTTTGTACGTTTTTTGTGTACGCGTCATCGCGTGAAAAAAAAAAGGGAAAAAGGAAAAAGAGCGGAACAGAATAATAATAATAATAATAATAATAATATACCGGCGTCGCGTGATTTACATACCTATACCGAATGTGACGTGACGTCGTGTACGCGGCGGCGGCGATAATATTATCATACGCGCCTTCGCGGCACACGGATATTTATACAGAAGTATCGCAACCGACGGAAACCCACACAGACTTTTCGGTCTCTGGTGGCCGCCGGGACGCGTGGGTCGCGACGGAACGACACGGCGGTGACTTATAACCGCTATAAACAGCGAGCGTTGTTTTCCGTCCGCGCGATTCTACCCCCGCGACACGGCGACCGTCGGCGGTACTCTACACGCTGTGTTTTCCCGCCACTCGTCGAGGAGCGAACGATTTTTCAACGACCCGGCGGAATTGCCGTAATCGCGAACGCGTAGAGAGAGAGAGAGAGAGAGAGAAGAGAAGAGAGGAACACTTGACGCTGCAGGGTCGTAAAATTAAGAAGAAAAAAAAAATCCAATTAAATTTACGCGGATGGAAAACAAATAGGTATTTATTGGAAAGGAAAAAAATGAAAATGAAAAAAAAAATCGAACGAAAAAACCGAAAAATAACTTCGCGCGTCTTAACACGCCCGAAACAACAATTGTGTGATATTGTTTACCGCCCGCGTCGTGAACTACTCGTATACTACAAACGCCCGATCCTATTGCGCGTACCTGGCGCACAAAATCGGATATTTTGCAAAAATACTCGAAATGCCTACCAATATCCATACATTACTACGTTGTGTATACGTAATATTACAAACTATACCGTATACACATTCACACTCTAGTGCACACCTTGCACGGCTAAGCTCGGCACTATTAATTATATCGTGTACCCCGAGTGCTGCGGAGATTTGCTGCAGAATTTACCGCCGCCTGTACGCACCACGCCACATAAACTGTATACATAATAATTAAGGCCGAGAATGTGGGAACAATCTGGTTTGATATCGATATATTCGCAGCGACGTTTTCAACATCGGCCTAATTTAAGCCGTGCTGTAATGTACAAATTAACACTGCGAGGCGAAAAACAGCCGCTACGTTTCGTTCATTTCGTGAAAAAATAACAATAATAATGATGATCCGGTACATTTGATCTAGCGTCTATATTGGAAGGCGATACGAAAGAGCACAACGAAAAATATACGACGCTACACGACACGTTTCTCGTTAAAATTCTAAAGCCGATAAACGATTTAATCGGATGTATATGACCGTATATTATGGGAAATTTATCGACGATAAAAAACGGAATGAAATTATTCCATTATTATTTATTTTTTTTTTTTTATTTTTTTTTACAATACTTTAAATAACTAACCGGTTGATTCGGATGCATAGGAACCGTAAAAAAAAAAAAAAAATCGTTTTTATACCGTGTTGTGCCCATATTTGTTAAAACCAGTATAATATTATTATAATAATAATTTAAAATCGAAAAAGTAGAATTTCTATCGGTAGTCGTTTGTAAGTTACAGCGTATTATCCAATAATTTGTTGTAAATGTATACACCTGATGTAACCGATGCAGTAGTTTATTTTAATATACAACAATTGTCAACTAAACCAATACACATCTTCAGTCCCACGGAGAAAGGTCATTTTGTCAATTTGTTGTTGTTTTTTTTTTTATTTTTTTTATAACTGTGCCTTCTGTAATTTCTCGATCTAAATCGCATAATAGTACGCGTACTCTATATTCTATAACACGTCTTATTTTAGTGCAAATTAAAATATCTAAAATCACTTTTTTTTTTTTACAAAAAAAATGCACAACTCGTATATGACTTTTATTAGATCTACATTCAGGTCTAGAGTAATTTAGTATTAATTTAGCCAATCAGTATTTTTTATTTTCATTTGGCAATTTCCAAAATTAAACTGGCTCATATTGAAAATGAGAGAATTAAAGAATTAGAAACTAGAAGAGTTACATATGAGTCAAATATTTTAATTTCTAAAATATTACAATCACGTCAATTAATACACATTAAAATATATTATTATTTTTTTTTTTTTATGACAAAAGACCGTAATTTCGGTGATGTGAAACAATGCAAAACTGATGGAAAATCGTAATTTTCGCAACGGTGTTTACCAAAGAATAGATAAATAGTAATAGCTTGTAAGTGCATTTATTTTATTTTTATTCGGACAAAGTATAATTTTGGAAAAAGAGAATGTATTGTAAGAGTACGGACAGTACGCGGGTACGTTATCTAAATTAATTTAATGCCGACTTTATTTCAAAAGGTTTAAACTCGCATGACGAGAACAGCATCGCGAATACAAATAAGTGTATTATATTATTATCGTGTATAACACAATACATATGCATTCGCAATGTATTCGAAATTCGCGTGCGTTTTTTCGGCCATTGTATTTAATGAAAACGATTCTCTGAAAATCACGGCGAAAACGGTATCATATTCGACTCGCAGAAGGAGTTCGAAAACGCACTTAGACAATCCGATAAAAATAAAATACGAATAAAAAGTTATCAGTTTGTATTATTAATAATCGTATAACAGATTATAATAATATCCGTTTGAAAAACATTACACGCAGCAAAGTATAAAATACAAAAACTTTTAAAGCATCTATATATATATACATCACTTCTGTACCGATATTTCTGAAATTCCGGTCGAGTGAATACGAATTTTATATACATATATATGCACTTAAATCCCCGTATACATTTATACAACTTAGAACAATAATAATAATTTCTGAACAAACGAACAATAAAATCAAAATCGGTATACAAGCGAATGATTATACGTAATGTATATATATATATATATATATATATATATATACTTACGTATATGATATGCCGCAGCGAAAACTTTTAACTTTTCACGAGGAACGTGCGCTCTAATTAAAAATACCTACACATAAATTCGTTATTGTATCCAATTATTATTTTAACACGTTTTTAATGCACGAGGAAACTAAAAAAAAAAAAGAGGTCATACGATAATGGGGACGGGTGCAGTCACTGTTATAGATAATTTAATGTATAACTGTAAGCAACGATAAACCATTGCTTACGAAAAAACGATTCTGAGCGGAGTTCAGTTGATAGTGATGCATTGTCAACAATATATATATATATATATATATATATATGTCATTTTATAGTAAAATAATAAAAAAGACTATACATTTTCTTTAATTATATTTGTTTAATGTTGTACCGATTTTCCGAATTTTCCTACGTTTTTCTCGGTTTTCCCATGTTCTCGAATTTTTCACATTGTCTAGTAAAACTCTTGAGAAAATCGAAAAATGACCTCTTTAAAGTATCTCCATAATGAAATTTCCTTTTAGAAACATTGTTATCATTAAAAATTGATGCGAAATTGCTGGTAGGAAAGTTGTTCACTGAAAAAAAAAAAGGCCGTAATATATTTTAACTAATACCTACATTTCTTATATTTTCCCTTTTTTTTCGGTTTTTCAAATTTGATATGAAAACTCCTGAGAAAATTGAAAAATGACATATAAAGTACCTCTCTACACAGATTTCCTTTCGGAAAAGGTGCTACACTTAGAAATTCGAGCAAGTCTTCAGGTAGAAAAATTGTTAACAGAAAAAAAAAACATCTTTTAAAACCATAGGCTTTTTCGCTTCGTTCAGAATCTAAAAATAAAAAAAAATAAACCCTTGTACATCTAGTAACATTTAATTCCGATTGGAATGCTATAGCATTGAAACGACTATAGGATGTGGAACACACATATTTTTATCATTATTATTAATAATTTCTGACGAAATTTACGCACTCTTCGGGTATAAGGGAGCAAAATCGATTTAAATATTTTACATTCTAAGAAGAAGCGCGTTTACTATATTTTATATTTTTCCGGTGAAAACGATTTTTCGAACAATAAATTTATGCTTAACAACAACTTTCGTCCCGAGATTCAACGCCGCAACTTTATATAGAATAAATAGGTAATTGAACGCAGATGGGTAGTTTAGGTAAGTATCGTTAACGGCGAGACGAACTTATAGTAAATAAGCGTTAAAGTTGTTTTATAATTTCGGGCTCAGACACCATATACACATCAATAACGGTTTATTTATTGATAATTGTTATTATAATTGTTTGGGTTCATTCGGTCCCTACAGGACCATTCCGTTTCACAATCAATCCTCCCGTTATCTCTGACAAGAATCTTCCAATTTAACGGGCCTTCTAAAGATACTCACCTCGGCTTTCCCAAATGTCTTTTCCCTATTGGGTTATATTCCGACACGGCTCCTGGCAGTAGTGGTTTTCATCATAATCTTATTTTTTGAACGATCTCTATAAAATGTTATTTTCTCCAGACGGTATCTATAGATACATTTTTCTATAGCCCTATCTCCACTCTCTCAGTCTTCATTGGTTATTCATTGATTATATATTTTTTTTTCTTTATTGCAATACTAGATAACATTGTAAAAATACCGCAGATTTAGTGATCCGTGTAAAGTGCGTTTAAATTTGTAAACTCTCGCGTTAACTCATCCAAACGTGCTGCGCGAGACTTTTGCGAGATAATAATATATAAGTTTGTCGAAAATCGTATACGAGCAAAGTGTATTATTAAATATTATATAATACTCGAATACACAAACTAAATTCACAACAAACGGTGAAAACGGCTCGTATGTAATATTGCTACATGCGTATACACAAACGATGTGTGCCTACACCTATAATATGAAAATATTTTCGTAAACCGCAGTACCATTTGTATGTGTAGTTATAACTATATAATATATCATTTATTATGAATTTACGATGTTCGAAATGAACATTGTTTCATTTCAGTTTGTACGCAACCAATTAACCGCGAAAAGGCAAACGAGATGACATCCAGTAAAACACCATATATAGACTTTTAATAAAGATATGCGCCGCTCATTTTGTGTGTAACACGTTGAAACCGGCATGTGCGTGAGATCCAGACACGATAGTTGACTATATTCAACGACAATAATAACGATGAAATTAATATTTTCTCAAAGAATTTTAAGCGAATTTTATTTATGGTTTTTTTTTTTAATACAAAAGTATATACGGGACTATTTGACAATTTTACATTGTAGTTACATGTAAAAACTACAAACAGTCCTGTTACATCGTGTATATAATTATGGAAACGATTAAGCTTTATTTTAACAATATTAAATACTAATATATACTTGAATACTTCTACTCCTTATAGGTACCTGAAATGGGTGTACATTTTGGATTTTTAAATGGCAACTCTTTCGTTTGAACACATATTCAAATAAAAGATATTTGTGTAATAAAGTGAATAAAGGGGTACAAAAAAACTGAACGTATACCCACTAATCACTTAGATTACTTATTACAGCCTACGACGGTAAGAAACAATTAATATAAGATATACATTATGAAGGGTAACAATAATATACTTACCTATGCTGAACGGAGTATCCTCAGCAACAATATTGAGTTTGAATACAGGTATAATTATATTTATTTATTATGTTAAATAGGTAGTAGGAATGATAAAATAAACACTTGATTAAATTAAAAATGATGATACCGGAATGTTAGAAGCCGGAACCACACGCACTCGCGGGAAGACGAAAAAGATGACGAGTCGCCAAGACAGGATCCGGTGGCCGAATGAATCGAGGAGTCTCTTATGAGAAAGAAAGGGGAAAATAGTGGAGTGACGTTGTCCGATTCTCATTATCATGTCTTATTATTATATGAGATATTTAAATGTAATACATACTATTTTGTATTTATCTAAATTTACTTATAAACTGATAAAATAAAGTGGAGTCCACTATAATAAAATATAGTGTAGATAATATTAATGTTATATAATATTATATTATGATATATCCCATATTGTATATATCATTACATTTGTCAACAAATTTTGAAATGTATAACGTTCTTATTGATGGTTATGAATGGTAAGTGTTTTAAAGTTTAGACCGAAAGAATAAATACATTTCATATCCTTTTCTTAAACGATAATCGTATAACACTTTCCTACTCCACCGGTCTGAACTTTAAACTGTCATAACTTATAAATGGTAAATCCGATATAAGTGTTATGCCTATAAAAATGTGTAGAAAAATATACTCCATTCAAACGAAGGATTGAATAGAAGGGGTTGCTAATTGAAAATCTAAAATGTAAACAAGTATTTCAGATATAATGAGTAGACGTAAAAAAATTGAAAATAGTGTTAAAATATAGGTTAAAGGATTCCATAGTTCTATAAAATTAAAAATTAAAAAAAAAAAAAAACAGAAACCAAATTCACAAAAAATCCTTCGAGAAAATCGTTAGTTCGTGATTATAATCGATCGCCTGTAATTCAGTGGCACCGAACATGTATAATAAACATTAATAAACATTAATTTATATCCACCAATCTATAAATTGTATTACACTTAAGTCGTGAGGGCCATAGCCCTCCCATACAAACTACCAATTTTTTAAACTATAAATTATTATTTTTATAAATTATACTCGTATTATTTACTGAATAATATAATGTTAATATTTTAATGCAAAATAGGTACTTTAATTTTTTATTAGCATAGAAATTATACTCTTTTGACAAAATTATTAGACTAAACAGAAATGCTTTTGTCGGAAATTAACTTTTACCCGACGATGATTACATGCAATCACGAAGTGCTTATGATAGAATTATTTTTCCCACAAAATACGTCTCCGGCGCATTATTTTTCCGAAAAAAAAACTTTCTTACGTAATATGTTTCCAACAAAATATAGCCCTGCGTTTTAAATTCTTCGTTCTCTTATTGGAGAAAAATACAATTTTATTTTTTTTTTTTTATTTTTAAACCCGATTAATGAGTCCGTTACGCACACGTTACTAAACACACACGGGCGCACGCGCACATACACACAAGACAACGAGTGTACACAATATTTAAATTGATTTTTCGTTTAATGAAATACATACTCCGGGTGCGCGCGCGGCATTAAAGGTCAATACGAACGTTGACAACGAACGGTTTTTTTTTTTTTTTCAAACGGTCAGAGGTCATAAATTAACACCGCATTATTATAATATTATCTATCTATATATACATGAAAAAATAAAAAAAGCCCGGAGGGATTATCGTAATAGCTTTGTATAAATATTATAAAATGTGGGACGTAGGTGAAATGATCCTATTGTGCGCGCACGCGTTATACTTACACTGCGCTGGCCGCGTGCCAAATGTTATATATATATTTTTTTTTTTTCCTTACGTTGGGCAGACTTTTTAATTTTATTTTACCGATGTACTCTCAAGCATAATGTCAGACTAGAGCGCATACAAGTATATTATAGGTATGGCCCGGACAGATGTTTACTAAAAGTATACGTATATACGCGTCTACCGCCTATATATAATACTATAATCGATTATTTCAAACAGGAAGCGAAATTAATAGACCCGGACGTTTACTATTATATAATACGAGCAAACATTTTAACGGATATTTGTAAATTTTATCTCAAAACCCAATTATGCGGGATTCTCCCGAAAGTTATAAGGAGTTCGAGAGGGTTAAGTAATTCATCGGGTCTGTTTTACGAGCAAAATCGATACAATTTAGAGGTACCACCGAAAATCCGCGACGCACAAGGAATGTCGTATGGCCTTCGGTGCATCGAATTTGATGCAACTATAATACAATGCAATGAATTTCACATATGTGTGAAATTCAACGTTTTCAAATTTAAAAACAATATTTTCAACGATATTTCATGGTTACTTATTTAGGTCTTATTTTTAATTCTTATTTATTTATTTTTTTTAACGGATATAATAAATTAAGAGGATGTCAATATTTTCTCTCTCAGAGAACCCATGCACAACATAGCAATTTCGAATTCAGCAGAACCAAACTTATGCATCTGTGTTTGTACAATGTCTTTTTTAACGATATTTCAAATTTTAACAACATTTTTAAATTGTATTAGTTTACATACTCTCACGAGCCGCATGAATATTGAAATATCGTGTAAAAAGTTCAACGACGTACAAACACGGCTAATGTTCGTAACTTTAAATTTAACAATAATTCGTCGTCGTGTCGCATATGTCATGCTAACAACGCGAGTTCGTTTTCGCGGAACCCGAAACGTTGGCCGCGTTGCGCGTGGGTTAGACGGAGAAAAATAGTGCGCCGACGACGACGTCCTCTCAAGAGTAAAAAAAAACGCCTGTAATCAAATCAAAAGAGGACAATATTCCGGAGGGCGAGACGATGCGGTTTTTTTTTTTAAATTAAATTTTTTTACACGCTACAGTCGTTTAAAAACGATGAATTAGATTTTATTCATAAACGATGTACTGCAAACTTTATAACCGGAATAATAATTAGAAAAACGCATCGTCTCGGTTTCCGGAATATTGGCCTCTTTTATAATATGTATTTTTTTTTTTTTTTTAAACCAAAATTAAAACGAGTTCAACGCAGACTACGTAAAGTAGATTTCGCTTTATCGCCCGTTACATAAGACCTCTTAATAAAATTCGATGGACGATAAACGCGTATAGAAGTTCAATATTGGGCCCGACTCACGAAAACGCTGCGCCCGACCGAGTGTCTCCCAGCTATATAGATACTATGACATAATATAATCGCGATATAAATAGTAATAAAAAAAAAAAAAAAAAAATATAAAAATAGTTAAATCGAATTACGTTTTATTAGAATATACTCGTAGTACCTATACGATATACATAATATATCGTACGCCTAATATACCGCGGCGGAATACTGTATAGGCAGAACCAGTATCCGTGCGGCGCGGCGGCACTGGGCGAAAGTGACCGCGTGCACCAGATTATAACCGCGCGCGCTGGGTATAGGTTATGTGGTCCGCCCTCTTACTCGGGGGGGGTCATCCTCGGGTGACCTTTTGTGTGTATGTATATATATACGACCGTATAATATGCGTATATATATATATATGTATACAGGTAGGTACCGGCACTGGTGAAATCGCGTTCACGATTCAGATATTTTATCAGTAAAAAAAAAAAAAAAAAAAAAAAATTAAAAATAAAAACAATTGTTGCATAATGCGAAATACGATATTTACCGAGGGAGTAAAAGAGAGAGATACCGCGGGGGGACTTGAAAAATATACTCGCATATACGGGACCGCGGCGCACTGGACGGCGGCCAGAGATTGACTGTCAGACACAATAACGCGGCTATAAATCCAGTTTTAAATAAATAAACTAAAATATATTTTTCGAATCGAAATTATATTGGGTACCTATAAATTATAATATATATATATATATATATATATATGTATATGGGTACGCAAAAAAGAAATATTGTAATACCGGTATGTAATCCCGGATTGAAATGATCGACTGTTCGTTTAGTTTGTGTACATAATAATATACAGCTAGACAAGCAAACGTACAGGTACTGCTCACTTTGATAAATTAATCCGAGCTTTTTAATAAATAGGTACATATTATTATTATGCATAATTGTTTAACAAATTGTATTCGTAAGCACTTTATAAAACATAATAGCAATAACGGTAGTGTTCCTAAAACAAATTTCGCATTGGTTGTGAAACACAGAAAAGCTAATACATACAGTTATGTGTTTAACAACACAAAATGATATAGAAGTTGTAAAACAACGACGGATTATATTAATTAATTATCTACACACCGGTGCAGTGTTACTAAATTATATAGGTATATTTATCTACAATAGACACATGGTTTTATTTATTTATTTTTTTTTTTTTTTGAAGATAACTTTCAACAGAGTGCATGAAGACTTTATGAAACTTTTTAACACAAAAAAAATAAGTTAAGAAATAGTAAAATATCGGTCACATTCAAACTCTAATTTATAACTCTAATGCTATAATAATTATAGCATTTGGAAATATTATTTTCCAAATCCAAGTCCAATGCACCGTGCAAGATGTCTTTGTCTTTGCGACAAAATGGTCGAAATCAGATTAGTCTGCCATGCAAAAGAGCACACCCCGTACGCATAATTTTGGGACGAAAAACAATTAACGATGCTGTCGAAAATCGCTTCAAAATATATACTCAAAAAATGGAAACGACATCGGTGTATAGGACCCGATGTGCAACGATAGGATTTTTTTTTCGATTAATAATATTCACAAATACAATCTCCCGAAATGTCTATTATTAGTCAATTGACGACTTATACCGTCGGACCGTAAGTCCGACGACCATATGCGACCACTGCAACCGACCGACCACATAAATCAACAGTTTTTCAAGGTTATATTATATTATATCTATATATTACGTGTAGAGAAAAAAAAAGCTACACGAATTACGTCATACGGGTGTTGCAATAGAAATTAATGGTTCCCAGTTCTTTGAACATGTATAATGCGCGATATAGGTAGGGTAATGCGCGATTTATCTTCCTAACGAGAGTTTTGGTGAAAAAAAAAATCCGGATTGTTTTTTTTTTTTTTTCGGGTTTATTATTATTTATTTTAACTGTCCCGTCAAGGACGGATTTTAACGCGATATCAATGACTGGGATCCCGTACGCTCGTGTTATTGAAAAAAATCAAATAAAAATTCAGATCCGAATAGGATTGGAACGATAAATACCGGTTTCAAGCACGTTTGACCATATAGGGAACGGCAAGGGCCAAGGACCTCTTTAAAACATCACTGCGATGGACTTGAATTTTTATATTTTATTTTTTTGCTTCTATTCGTATATTTGTGTGTGTGTGTGTGTGATAATTCTCAAGTCGGTTACATAAAGCTATGTAACTTTACGAAAGATAATATAAGATTATGGAAAAGAATGTAAGTATATATTATAGATATACCCATATAATATTTACATATTTTCGCCAGTGCAGCCCCGTGAGGGTTTACTAATTGCTGTTATAATAATCCTACAGAATTTCCCGTATATGTGTATATTTTGTTTATTTGAATAATAGTATCCGTACGGTATGTCTGTATTAGAGATTATATAATTTATTTTTTATTTTTGTTATAGGCCTTTATAAGATCAAACTGACAAACATGTTTCCCGTCATTCATTCCCATCCTTTGCCAATCCGTATCTGGTTCCACCACCTTTACGTTTAGCATCGCTTGATCTCCCCATCTCAGCTATGGGCGTCCGAACGAATTCATACTTTAAAAACCAATAACTTTTTGTGTTACGTTTTCTAACTAAGCCTTCACTTCTATAACAAATTCTTATTTTCAATTTTCAATTATTATTTTTCTAGGACGTCTTTTTAATCATTTGATCTCCATCTTGTTATTTGTCTGGAAGGATTTCCGTTTTTACAAATGTCGGGCCCACTCCTTAGCTGGCTGTTTTTATTGGGAATCTTATATATTATTCAACTGCTTTCACATATTATTCCTCCGCTTGTCTCTTCCCAATTTTCAATATTAACTGATTAAAAGGGTAAATTTTTTTTTCATAAATTGTATCTAACTTAATGATATTAAATAATATAATTGACCAGCAATAAAAATTATAAGTTATCAGAAGAGAACCGACGAAGATACGCCTGGTAGTGTATCCGAGATCTGACTGATTATCAGTACCACAAGAATAATTTGATTGCAAAAAAAAAAAACTAGAACATAATAATATACAACATATTATATTGAGCCTTGAAACAAGTTTTTGAGAACCCAAATAAATTTCATCTGTGAACATCTATGTTAAATATTTTGAAAATTGTATCACGTCTAAAATTCCTAAAACTCATCTAGAATACAAAAAAAAAAATTGCGCGTCCCTGGAAGAAAATAGGACGATTTGGTATGAAAAAGCAAAATGCCCGCTACATTCGTTTATATTGCATTAACTCTAGACTCTAAAAAGTAAAAAAAAAAAAAAAATCAAATTTTACAAAATAATCTATGGATCATTTAAATACCGATATTATACAAAGTATAAAAGAGTGCGAAAACCGTTTACATTTTTAATTTATTGTATACAGGTTCTTATAGCCAATGCTAATATTAAAATAACCAAAGCCAAATTGTATTACATTCGTGCGAACTCCGATTCGAAAAAAACAATAATGATAAACTCGGAAATTATACACCAAAGACTGCCCGTGCCTTTATAATAATTATGTAATTATAAAAGACCAATATTACAGAGTTAATTGAATCTCGATATTTCATCACTATTATTTCGTTTTGAACAAATTATATTTGTATGATTTTTTTTTTTTTTATCGCTTATTGAAATTCAGTAATAACAATCGTAAATATATGGGTATAAAGGTCATGAAGACCAGTTATGTGTCATTATTAATCGTCATAAAAAAAATCATATACGCACGCATTGTCGTTCCATGAAAAGCTCCATTGATTGCTCTAGTTAGGTACTTTATTAAACCATATTAGGCCATACCGCCGCACAATTTTCAACACGATAATCACTCGATATAATTTTTTATTACGTCATATTAGTATTATTATTTTTATTTTGATCGGATTTCGTGCAAATTACGATTGCGGTATATACTTTACCGTGTATCAAAACAACGGGGGTTTTTTTTTTTTTTGGTTTCTTTTGAAAGTGAAAACCAAATCAGAACTGCTATGTATAGAACGAAGACCAACGAGAAGAATACAAACGGAGAGTAGATCCAGAAAACGTTAGTCGAATCGGATTTAAAAATACGGGGGAGGGGGGAATAGTAAATATTGATCGGGACAACTACGTTAGATATACGTCTCTAAGCTAAATTAGAGCTAGAAAAAAGAAGACTACTTTTGAATTCCGGTATCATTTGTGTTTTGGGTTTTCCCTGACAGTGAACAAGTTTTCGACTAGAATACTTGTTCCGATCGAAAATTTCAATAAAAAAAAAAATTGATTTCGATCTATACAGGATGATCAATCATGAGACACCCATTACTTCGGAAAGTATTGACTTTTTTAGGAATTTATTTTATAAAACAAAAACACAGGCAGCTCTACAATTTTACATTTATGTTATTCTGTATCACCCTTATTTATTTAGGTAAAACTACTACATACTTTTGATTTTAAAACGGCAACTTGCTCCTAGATGGAGTAGTATTTAAAATAAATTCATCAGTTTGTTGACGAGATATTTTACTTTAAATTTAGGTCGGGAGAGAGAAGTGGTACATTATTAAAATACTACGCGCCGTGCCGCCACATAAATAAGGGTAACAAAAAAATAACATAAATATAAAATTGTTGAGATGCCTGTTTCTTAAATGCTCTATAAAACAAAAATGCCGAAAAAATGTAATACTTATAATTATAAGTGATAAGATAAGATAATAAGTGTCTATAGTTAGATATAGTTGGAATGCATTGAAGAAGTTGGTTTTTTCAATTTTTCGGTACCTAAGTACACTTCCTCCTTATATAATCAGTGGGAAACTAAAAAAAAAACCCACAAAACATTTAATCACATTTAGTACTTCAATGAAATTGTACCCGCGCAGCTTTAAACAGTAGTCGTTTTGACCGATCACTAATCGGTCGTTTACAAACACTACTATACTTCCGAGTTGCCAGGATAATTATTATACACGACTCGTTATTATTGTCTACGGACATGAAACATTGTATGTGTATTTAATACCAGAACACGGTTTTAAGTAAACCCGACCCAAAACTTCTCGGAAAATGTGTTCGAGTAGTTAACGCACCAAAAGTACCAACATCACAACGGCAATCTAATGCGTTCAGTAGACGAATTATATAGAATGTTACATCGTAAATTTCATACGAAATTCCGAAATATTAACAATACTTACGCCCTAAAATGTTTAATACGCATATTATAGTTATTTACTGAAACCTAAAATATATTTTGGAAAAGTGTGAGAGGGTATATTTTTGTAATAAATTTTGATTTGATTAAAATGCTAAATAATAACAAAATAAAGATTTCATGTAAATATCTTAACATTTTCAAGTAATTATAGATTCGGCCTAACGATAAGTACCTTTAAAAGGAAAAAATATTGTATTGTCCAAAGTTACTAAATGAAAAAAACGATAATTCGAATCAATATAATGTCAAAAATAAAGGTTCAAAAAAGTCTACAATTGATCTATCCGAAAGGGTAAAAATGAAAAATTAAATGTATACCATACATTTCAGTAACCCCACCATTACGTCCCGAAAACAGCATTCAAATCTAATGTCGCCCGACCGAAATATCTAATACTGCCTGGAACGGGGAACACACTGTATATAGGGGACGGAATACACAAGAAGAAACAAGACGAACACTGGCATATGCAACGCACGATCAGCACAAATTAGTTTAATACAATCGAAAATATAATATTATAGGTAGATACTCGTATATCATATTAAACACAAAATCATATTATCATGATAAAATCGTGACGGATATTAAATTACAATTAAGATGTACGAATAATACACGACAATAATGCACAAACGTTAAAAATATTAAAAATTGAACGTTACAAACACGCACCGAGAATCGTGTATACCAAACAACTGTTTGAAGTGTTGTTTTCGTTTTTTTATCTTTTTCCCTCATAAAAACGATTGAAACGAAAGAACGTTGAATTATTATGTTTTAATAAAACATTCGAAAACGTCTCTAATGTATTATTGAGTATTTTCAAAATGTTATGTAAAAAGTACAACCAAACGCGCGCGATAACTACGTGATATTTAAAACTATATTATTTCATATTCAAATAATAGGAGTGAAGTGTATGGTACATTTTTCTGATTTATACCAAAATCGATTCTAACAAATACGATACCTATATAGATATCAAAAATATTATGAAATGCGACCAAAGTGACCAAGTACAATCGCGTGGTCAAATCGTAGAGTATAGAAAGAACGATCGACTAAAAAATTAGTATGGGGATTCGAAACGGAATGGGGATTCCCTTATATTTCTCAGTTTAACACGCAGCACATCAATTTAGACCAATAATTGTTCATCCATCAATTAGATGTAGTGAAGCGACCAGAGTTCTGAAAACTGATTTAAATTCGGCGTGAAGTGAGTTTTGCACGGGCTTGGCCACTTTTTCGAAAATGTTATTTAGAAATGTATACAAATGTAACTTGGAAACATACACAAATTTATTTTTAAAAAAAGTCGGACATATTTTGAAAATTTTCCAACGTCTAAAAAAGACAAATATAAGTTTTTTATTCAAATTATTTTTGTACATTTTCCCGTTTTCCTAAGTTTTTTTTCTAGATTATTATGAAAACAGCTAGGAAAAAAGTGACTTCCTTAAAGTACCAACTAGATAAAATTCTCTTTCATAAAAAGAAATGTAGAATGTTTACTCATTCTTGTGCATCGGAGCAAGATTTCTAGTAGAATTTTCGTACGTAGTATAAACAATTAAATAAATATAAAAAAAAAAAAAACAATCATTGTAAAACCAAAAAACCTCGTAAAACTCGCTCCACTCAAACTCTAAAACTTAAATTAAATTGAACAAAGTGGCCTGACTGAGGTCTTTTGTACATTCACACTAAATTCAAATTTATTTTCAAAATTCTCAGGTTTCAAAAAAAATGGTATAATTCACTGCACTATGTAAGACAAAGAATAGAGATAATAAGGTAACTATCCTGTTTCGTTTCAAATTCCCTTAAACTTTCTTTCAGTTTTGTCATGCTTGTTATTATTATTAAACACAAAATTACATAATTTAAAGCTAAATTTATTTTTTTTCGCAGATTTTTTAAGACAAAAATGTAAAAATTCGTATAATTTTGTGATTTTTCACACCATAATGTAAACATAATAAATTATTGTAGATTTTTACCGACAAAGTTAAAATTTCACTCGGACATTCTTAGCACAATAGCTAAGTAAGTAATATATTTTCTAAACAAGAAAACAACTCTAAACGAAAAAGTTTTATTTAAAAAAAAAAAAAACCACACGGCTATGTGAAAAACTGATCACGTTGTCTTCAAAAAAAATAAAAAATAATACAACGACAACAAATGTTGAAATCCGCCGTAGAGTACCCATACCTACACTGCAAAAAATATATAAGAATATAATAATATAAGTAATCTTTTCTTCGTCCTGTTATAACATTGAAACACATGTTCCGACGACCTCATCTGTTCCTTCCTCGTGCACACGCACAGCAACACACTCAGCGGCTATCGTCTTTTAGTACCGCACCAATGTCAACAGATTATTGTTATTTTGTATAAGATTTTTTTTTTCGGTTTTATATTTTTTGGTTTTTTTTATGCTCTGAGACACAAAAAACTACCCGAACGTTCGTATAATGTAATAATATTATATTATACAAAATATAATATATAATGATGATGTTCTATTCAACGTGTTGTACTATATTCAATTTTTTTAAATAATAAATTATAATATTATTATTTTCTATAGGTTCCCGCCTATAATAATAATAATAATAACGATGATGATTATAAGTGTTTATTATATACGAAATTTGTATTAAAAATATTTTTTATTATTATTTTTTTTTTACTATATTATCGTCCTCGCCCGTAATACTAAATATATTCATAATATTCCAAAGAACGTAGTTTTTTTTTCACTTAAGACGCTTTTTACGAATCGATAAATTATAAACACCTCGGGTTAAAGGAACTTGCTATACTCGTATAGTGTATAACAGTGACACAGCAGATAGTTAAATGTCTTTTTAAGTAATTTCTCGCTACGCATCGGTTACATTATCGTCTAATCGAATAATTACTAGGTAGTGAAATATAATAAACTACCTACTGATATATTTTATATAATACGAAATCCATATTATGTATAAACAAATTCTAAAAAATGTTTGTAATATTTTGTTTAGGACCATGTGTTTACTTCATACTTAGGTATCTGTAATTATAGATCCAAAATATACTTTATAGTGTATTTTAATAATTTATAATATTTTAGGGAGGGACGTCTTGAAATGTTGAAAATAAATTATATAAGTTTACTCATAGGTGCAGTATCGATAAAATCAACAAACTCTTGTATAGTAAATTTTACTGTGTTCAGTATTTACTGTTATACTCAAAGAATACAAAATAGACATTTACAAAATTCTATATATATACATTTATCTATAAGAAGAACTGTGATTACGGTTATAATATAAAAAAGGCTGATACTGCTGATGAATGTGAAACTGTTTTATGAAGAAAGTTGAATGGAAAGAGTAATTTAATATACATCAGTACGCAAAGATAAACCACTGCTAACGAAAAACAATTTTAAGCCGAATATTATCAATCGTATTTTTCATCCAGGTAACCCAGAAATCAGCAAAAAAATTACCAATCTGTCCAATCAATCATTTATAAAAAAAAAACCTCAAGGAAAACTAAAAAAATTACCTCTTCAATACACTAATTAGATCAAAAATACTATAAGAAAGTTCCCATAAGATTTTCAATTGGGGCAAGATTTCAAGTAGAAAAGATGTTTACAGATACGAAATAAACTCATCGTAATATATTCCTCGCTTCACTTAGAATCTAAAACCTATTTTCAAAGAGACACAGTGTGACACGTTTTTAATTGTTTTTTTTTCCGTTCAATACTACGTGCGGGGCAGCTATACAGTACTATAATATTTTACAATAATGTTGAACATTAGATACTTGAAATTGTACAATTCGATGCGATCAAGAATATAAGTACTTCCAGGGTATATCGCATATAGCTCACGAGAATAATTTCCAGAAGGCGTATAATATAATCATTATTTGATTATCTTGTGCATTACAATTTGAAAAAAAAAAACAGCGCGAAATTGCATCGAAGGTTAGGACAATGGGTCAAAACTGGTATACGAGTTTAATAATATTAATAGGTAGGTAATATTTCGCCGTGTTTTCGAGACCGACACTACATTATTGTTATATATAGGTGTATATGAACAAAAACAAAACGAAAATAATATATCCTCCTGCCTATAGGAACGCTTCCAACAAACTCATTATAGGTAGTTACGAGTCATTATGGGTTTTTTTTTTTTTGTTCGAGCACACTATAATAAATAGATTATAGGCATATGTATTTTTTTTTTTTTTTATATGATACCACCACGTCGGAACCAATAATATCGGGAGAGCTGACGGGGGTTGGGTGCAGGGGTAACAGATAAACCGTAACGGATTATCGTAGTATTATTTCGGTTTTAATTAACTCCTCCATGATGGCACGATGGGGTTGCGAGAAACTATGTATACGAGACGAACACTATATATACGATGACGACGTGACTTTCCGGTATTAAAGTCTTCGGTATATTGGAAATGCGGGGGGGATCGATTCTCTCATTAGGGAGAGACCGAGTGCACGACTAGTTGCTGCTTCTGCTTCTACTGCTGTTGCTCTTTGTCGAGACCGACCGGACACGGTTACTATAACATAGCTAAAGCGGTGTATACAATACCCGCGACCGATGTCGATTCGATGCCAAAGACTATAATATCGTGTTAATATCGTCAGAGTACTTTACTATATTATATTTAAACACCGCACGATAACGCGATCCATTAAATTCGACTTAAAATACCGACGACCAGAGTTATACAATAATAATAATAGTGCACTGTCGTCGGTGTACACTGTACACCGAGATATTCGCGTATTGTCCGCGGCGGCGGCTTGTAATAATACCGTAATAAAATATCGCACGTCAATAACAGTGAAAGTATCTGTATACAGTACATATATATAATGCGGGGAGGGAGAGAGGAAATGACACGAAATTTGGCGAAATTTCACTCGGTATAATATGCATACATTCGTATATATATATATATATTATATAGAAGGCACTACACAATAGGATGATGGAGAAAAACAGAGAGAGAAAAAATGGAAGTAAACACGAAACCTGGCGGCATGATGGTGTCCACACGAGCACAAACATAATATTATAAACACACCATCGCACCGCATTGCTGATGGTTGACAAGAAGAGAACAATACAACCGGAAAAAAAAAAACCGACAAAAATCTCATTATATAGGTACAATAATAATATGTACCCGAATTGTGCCGACTCACAACGAATAGTCACCGTCGTATATAATTTTATAAACGCGTATAGCCATATTTTTTTTATGTGTTTTTATTTTTTATTTTTCACTTGTTTAATCGTTAAATTATCGGCCATCTGGCGTGGCGACAACGCGTGTTATAGAACACAAACATTATTGCGACACCTTCGATACACATACATAAAAATACCAAGTCGTTTTATTTCCTTATATCCGATTTCAAAACATCTTTAGAATACATCTACTTATTATTATTATTATTCCTGTATCAACGTATTCCATGAAATCCAATCGATTTGTTATATACTTGTAATACCGAATTATAAAACAACAAAAACCGCGATAATCATTTAATTTTGTGCATTTACCAGTAGTTTGTCTCGCGTGATAAAAAAAAAATAAAAAAAAAAACCTCGAAAGAAGTAAAAACAAAAGGGGGGGGTAACCCCTTTGACTTATCTGACGACCAAATAGCATAATTTTGATTAGGTCTTGAAGGAAAAGGATTATTGTACAAATGTTTACATTTTTATAGAAGAAAAGTACTAAAATATTAGCTATATTATAGGGAGGGAAGGAGGATTTGAAAAAAAAGTCATCACAATTATAGTATAGTCTTAAATTAAATAAGACAGTTCAAAAATAATTGGTAGATAGAAAATTATAAATATTGATAACAAAAATTGGCCAGAGCCATTTCAATCAGTCATCGATCGGTAAATTTGTATGCATACCAGTGTAACCTTTTAGCTTAATGTAAAATTTAATCAAGAAAATTTATATGGAACATCCTTAATTTAGTTTCAACATTTTTATATGCCCCAATTTTTTAAAAAAAAGGTACACAAATACCCCCCGCCATCACGATGACGCCACTTCAACGACACAACATAGTTTTCCGTATCGTATCAATATTCGGTTAATAATTTTGTATGTCATAAGCTCGCGAAGGCGCTAAACAAAGACAACATTGGAAACACTTGAAATTAGATTCTATACAATTTCTTTTTTTATTTCTTCGTCTTCATTCCAACTATTTGGGGTCAGCCTCTTTATTTCTAAGCTTCCACTTGACTCAATCTCCCACCTTGCATACACTAGTTGTTCTACACAATTTTGTTTTCATTATAAAGCATAAGTATGGAAAATAACTGAACCCATCTCGAATTTATCTCGATGTTTCAGGTTCTCTATAATTCGTCCATTTTTTTTCCGGAATCCATCGTACCAGAATAAACGAATAGGTTACACAATATATTAAAATATTTTTGATTATTTTACATTTCTTTTGAATTCAACACCCTTATTTTTTATTCAAGTGAAAAAATGAATAAACCTAATAGTACAAAAATACTAATTTTTTATATACATATTATTATGCTTAAAAAAGTAAATACTTTGTAAAAATAAAAAATGTGACTAAAATGCGATAAAAAATAACACGTTTGGAAATTAATATGACCAATAATAATAACTATTCATACCTAGACCGATTAGAATAATTGAAAACCAATTTAAATCAATTTAAATTATTCGTAATTTATGTAGTTAAAAAAAACATATATATATATATATATAAATTGTCAATGATTCATACGAAACGAAAATAAAAAATAATTACGGTATGAAATTGAAATGTCTCGATTATTCCCGGGGTTTCTTCGACTTTTCCGAGGTTTCCTCGGGAGCCGTGGCAACCATAAAATATTCCGAAATAATAACGGATATTAAAATTAATTTTTCACGTAATAACGTGCATCCATGCGCGATTGAGCATCGGAAAGATGATTTTGATACAATGTACGATTCGTTAAAATGATCCGTATTGTAGCGTTATGAAAATCTTACCAAGTCAATACGCCACACGCCGAAAACTGCAGTGCCCGATGGCGGAGGATACCACTGGTGGCGGATATACATGTATACATAAATGAGGTATTCTGTATTTCGACTTACCTAAAAACACACAAACAAATTACGATTAAATATTTGCACAGTTGAAAACTTTATAATAAGTCGGTACACACGGCGCCGGCAATATAGTATATATACATGAAATAATGATATAAAATTAAGATGGAAGAAAATAAGGAGAATATATTACATAATTGTACGCAGCCTAATAATACACTTTGTAATATTAATAATCAGGCAGACAGTCGATATTTCGTGTTGTTTTTAGTTATAAATAAATATTTGTCTTTCTTTTATTTTTTTAAGTTTTTTTTTTATTTTTTTTTTTTTCCCCCCATTTACCTAAGTCGTTTTTGAAATACTACGTACACATATTATATTATAATCTATAGCTAATCCTCGGCCTCGTTAAAATTAACTTTATACGCAGTACAACAGGGTGGTTTTGTCTTTCTTTTATTTTTTTAAGTTTTTTTTTTTTTTTTTTTTTTTTAAATCATCATTCCGACGGTATAATTTCACGGGATTACATATATTATATACATTTCTTTAAATTTATCATAACCTAGTACCTCTAGACGTCTATATATATATATATATATATTTTAAGCATCCGTTACTACATAATATTATACAGTACATATTTCAAGATTAGAAAACATGCGCTCATAGTTTAGGGTAACGATTTTTTAATAGAACGTTATAGCCATCGTCACTCGTATCATTTGTTTGTATATAATGACAAGTACGCGTATACGACGAAAGATCTCCGGGCAGAAAAATTATAATACACCCGGGGTTGGTTTGACGTTATAACCGACAACGAAAACCGGAAAATAATGACGGGCCAGAACATTTGAGTTTTGGATTTATATACATCGTACCGGTATATTGATCGTTAGACTACGGATTTACGAGCAAACCCACAATATCCGGTTCAAGTATACATGTATAAGAGTATACACCTATAATAATACGTATTAGCTTCTGCGATAATAAAACAAAACAAAAAAATAATAACGACAGACACAAAGACGGCTCAATTACGAGTCGTTTGATTCGATTTAACCCCGAAAAGTTATCCATACGCTACGCATTATTGTGCGGTGAATTCGATTGGGGTTTTTAAATTTAATTTTCGCGAAAACGATCGACTAAAAAGCATCGGTCGACCCGCTACACGCTAATGGAGTTGTGTTTAACTTTAAAACCGTACCGAAGTAATTAAAATGCATACATATAACATAAGATGTTCGTTTCGAAACCCACGGCTAAAAAGTTTTCCCGGGTGTATGATATATGTATACCGCGACGACGTATAACATAGAAATATACATATTATTTTGCAGTAAGTGCACCTATATACACACACACGTTAGACGTTAATTTGTTACATAGACCGCCGCCCCCACACGCACGGAAGAAAAAATAAATTACCGAAGCTTTATAACGACAATAATATTGCATTATCCTTTGTACACACGATGACGGGCGACCGACACGTAAATATCATACTAAACCGAAACGACTCGTATACATACATCGAAACAACACTGCACAAGCTGTAAAAGTCTCGTTTTCGTCGCATCTTTTATTAAATATAATATTATGTAGTTTTTGTTCGGTATTGTGTATGGAAGTGACGACGTACAGATGTTCCTATACGTTACAATGTTATTATATTGTACGCAGAGTCATGCAATCCGCCTACGTGTATAGGTACTCGTATGATTGTGGTTTTTTTTTTTTTTTAACAACCCGAAGTTGTCGCCACTATACCCGCGAATATGCGGTGTCCGTATATACGATTATAAAACTTATATTTTACATTTTATAAATACGTTTTTTTTTTTTTTACGTGTGTGTGTGTGTGTGTTTTTGTGTGTATAGGTACCTATATATAAACGCCGCCGTACGGTTCAAATCGAAATCGAATACATTTTTCCTTGAAAAACCATTGGTAATATACCTATGTACAATAATGTGTACGAGTATAATCATTATTAAATAACGTAGGTACCTATTTAAATGCCAATATATGATTTAAATCGGAACCTTGAGTTTTGACAAAAGAATAGTCATTGCAAAAAAAAAGAAAAAAACTGCAGTTTCACATTATGCGACGACGTTTGTACGTGGTTTTTATTTATTCGAAACGTTATTTGATTAACTATATATAAATATATATAATATATTTAATTTTATATTGACCATCGCACTTGAGCAGCATATAAAATAGCCCGAACGCATAAATAAATTAAATTTTTATGCGAGAGTAAGTATGAATTTTGTTTGCAGATATTTTATATTATACAAATATTATCGTCCGTTAAATATTATACGAGTACCCATCATCGGGTACAACAATACTTATAACGAATTTTAAGTAGGTACCTACTATATAAAACTTATTTTTTCACGATTAACGATCTCTACCTGTACATTTCGTAATAAACGATGTGCAAAAATAAACTGAACAAGAAATGACATATAAATTTTAAAAAACAAAAAAAAATTGTAAATACATAACTCGAACCGCGCCAGAAACTTTTGAAAATTTGACTACGTCTAAAAAGATCTAATATAAGTATTCTGTAAAAATCAAGATAAATCAGAAATTAACTTATTGACTAAATCAAAAAAAGATTTCAAAAAAGATGATTCTCTTGAAAGTCAGAGTTATGGTTTTGATAAAAAAAAAAAATATAACAGACAGAAAAAATAAATGAAAAAAAATCATTTACAGGCCAACAAACAATATTAAGCTTATTCGATTTCTGTTTTTAATCATTATATTGTGATAGAATCGTTTAAGATTTATTTTTACCCTTACCCCTTGTATCTTAACTGAGTATACACTTTTGATTTTCAAATCTACAGCTCAATGTCTAGACCGGAAATGTAGGACGAAGGGTTATCATCTACAAATGGATATAATAACTGTTACAACTCATAAATGGTAAATCCGATTTTATCAAAATCATTTTTTATAAACATGTTCTTCGCGCGAGTCAGCTGTGTTCAAATGAAGAGGGGTTCGTGTTTGAAAATCAGAAGTGCATTCCCTCGTTTAAGATGTATAATAAACGCGAGGGTAGAGAATCGAAAATATCACTATAATAATACACAACGATTCCATATGTGTGTGGGCCATAACGATTGAAAAAACATTAAATACAACGAAAATCAAATTTTCGCCTAAAATCCTCCGAGAAAATCGCCGGTTCGCCCCACGGTATTTAGTGGAATTTCAATTACCGCCCATTTACCGCGCTTATCATTCGTAACCCTGCGCATACAGCAATAATGCACACGCGAACCGTAACACGACTAAAGTCTTCTCAAAGCAGCCGTCAGTCATCGAGTTTGCCGTTTATTTTTTGGGCGTCCGCGTCATTTTTCACAGTCGTCTTAAAAACAAAACGAGCAGGTCGGTGTCGTTGCAGCACCGCAGCAGCAGCCTTCTCACGCCGTCCTACGGAATATCCGCGGGTTTACCGCCGTTCAATGCCACCCGAAAAATAAAAATAATTACCCATTATATTGTATCCTAAAACTTCCCACTCGCAGAAAATCTAAAAACATTTTTTTTTTTAACGAATTAGTTATAGGTTAGATATATCAGCTAAGTTCGGCAAGGATATACGTACACTACACATTGTACACGCGGGCGGACCTATAAAAAACAATACTATTCCGTCGTTTTTACATATAACATATAATATTATATTATTAATGGTCATAATACATTATAATATGTATATTAAAATCGGAATAAATGTAGTAAAAAAGTTATGATTACGAAACTAATTTATATGCACTTATAATCCACAAAAAGCCCTGAAAACAAAACAATGATAAATTATTTAAAAAAAAAAACATAGTGGGATGAAGTAGTCCCGCCTCTAACGGCTCCAACATATAAAAAAAAATTGTTGAAAACTTCAACAATGATAATACAATAAGTTATATAATAAAATAAAATTGTACAAAAAAATTACTTTGTGTAAATCATTTTTGTAGCGTTTGACAATTTTAGTTGACGAGTTCGAGCGGTTAGATGGGAAACCTTTAAACCAATCTACCATTTTTGCTTTATAAATATTTTTTTTAAGTACTCTTTTCAGGGATTCGTTAACATTTTTAAGCGTATTTGTTTTTGTGGAAATCCACAGTTAAATAAGTGCTAAAAATCCCAATCGCCGAAAAACATTTCAGAACGTAACGATATATCCACTAAAAATGAACAAAGTCTTAAAATATGCCCTAATAATCCAAAATCTTCGAAAACGCCAAAAAAAAATATATATAATATCGTTACTTAGATCGCAAAACACATTTTGGTATAAACAAGCTATTTTATTTTATTTACCGACCGATGAAAATATACAAGAGCATAAAAATACCTACCCCGTTTGGTAACAAATGTAATATTAAACATATTTAAAAGTCATAGGTAGTTAAAATTAAAAAAAAAGTTAATTTTTAGCTAAACGAAATCGATTAATTTTGTGTCGACCTGTGTCACTATTCGTCGCACCGAAGCCTTTTTGTTTTGAGAAAACAAAATCGATTGTATATACTATTATTGGGGGGGGGGAGAAAGGGTAAACCACGCGGATTCGACAAAACAAAAATGACATTAACATAATACATTTACAAAAGCGATTTGCATTTTAGCAAAACAAAATATATTAATATACTTCTTCTTGTTATTGAGAACGACGACGACAAAATCTACGCGCGGTTAAATTATAAATAAACGTTCGTTTCCGTTTGTGAAAGTTCGGTATTATTATTTTGCGTTTTACTTAGGTCTGTTGCAGGCATGTATAATAATATACACGTGCATAAAACAACAATACAAAACGTGTGGCCAACTGTATGCGATGGAGTCGCATATTATATGAAGATATACGTTACAAAGTTTTGCAGACTGCAGCAGGACGAATTATGCCAGGGAAAACGT